CCGCTGCTCGGGGGACCCGCGGGAGCGACCCCTGAACCCCGCGATCCCGGAACCTCGTGCGTCGCGCCGATTCCCCGCGATCTGTCGGCCGGATGACGGGGCGGGCGACCACGAGGAGGTCGACGAGGGCGACAGCGGGCTTCGCGACGACGAGGCATTGGGCAAGGAACCATTCACACAATAAACAAACAAGACACATTGTAGACGATCCTTGTTTTTTCCCATTGCGTGCCCCCCCCCCCTCCCTCCCTCGGGGCCCTCCAGTGCCAACGTTGGTGGAGGGCTCGCCTCGGGGCCAGCGGCCCCGCTGGCCCGTCAGCGCCGTCGACGGCCCCCTCGGGGAAGTGTTCTGCGAGTCCGCAGGCTTACGTCGGGCCTGTCCCCCTACAGGGGGAGTTTCGCCAGAACATTTTTAAAAATACCCCAAAAATAATCAAAAAACAATCCAAAAATAGTCTGGGGACTACTTGTTGAATATTTTATTTGCCTTCTTGGAATATTTTGGGGGTATCTTTTATTTTTCGTCGAAAATCCTCCTGTAGGGGGACAGGCCCGACCTAAGGGAAGTGTTCTGCGAGTCCGTGGGCGGCGTCGACCTTTCTCTCGCCGCCTGCCGGGTGATGGGCCCTGGGCGGTCGCGACGGCCGCTAAGGGGCGCGGGCGCCCGGTCGACGACCACGAAGGGGGCCCAAACGAGTGGACACCCCTCCAGCGGGACACCGGCAGAAGAACCACCCCGGGGCCCCGTGGGGGCCTGAAGCAGTTTTTCTACCCCGAGAAGACGCAGCAGCCGCGCAGAACACCGTTGCGTAAAGATCTCCGTGTGTCGGTCGGCCCAGTGTCATCCTCCTCCTCCTCCTCCTCCTCCTCCTCCTCCTCGTCCTCCTCCTCCTCCTCCTCCTCCTCCTCCTCTTCCTCCTCCTCCTCCTCCTCCTCCTCCTCCTCGTCCTCCTCCTCCTCCTCCTGGGCCCTGCCCGATCGGGCCCTCGGGGGTCGCCGAGAAAAGGCTGGGCGGGCGCTCGCGCGCCTGCCTGAGGTCCCGCCGCCTGCCTGAGGTCCCGCTGTGTGGACGCCCGGAAGGGGTACCGAACCTCCTCCTCCTCCTCCTCCTCCTCCTCGCCCTCCTCATCCTCCTCCGCCTCCCGCCTCCTCCTCCCTCTTCACCCCCTCTTCCCCTCCTCCTCCTCCTCCTCCTCCTCCTCCTCCTCCTCCTCCTCCTGGGTACAGTGCCCAACAACAAATGTTGTCCCAAACCAACAGCGGCCGCTGTTGGGCAGGCGGCCTTCTGTCTCAAATGGGCACAGGCCGCGGCGGCGCGGACCGCGAGTCCTGCTCAAGACGAGCAGGAACTGCTGTTGGGCATTGTACCCATTCTTTCCGTACCCATGTCGGTCGTGCAGACGCTGGGCACAAGGGCAAGCGCCGCACTGCCGCACGGCGCCTCTCGGGTTCCACGCCGGTCGGGGGCGAGTTGGGCAGACGCTGAGCTGGCCGACGTGCGACGCAAAACCCAGTCGGCTGACTTCTCTGACATGGGGCCTGGCACTCGCAAGAGAAAGCATTTGTGTGATACTGCTTTTTTGTCCCTCGAGAGAAGGAGCCCAGGGTCCTGAGGCCCGCGGCACTCCAATCGTGGAGCGGCCACGGATATCACCCGCCCTCATCAGACAAGGAACCCTCCAGGGTCTGAAGCCTCCTGGGCGCCTTCCTCCACGGACGTCCCCACCGCACTCCCCAGACCTCTCCTGGGCCGCGCCCAGGCCAGCACTCCCAGGCGACTCCAGCCGTGGCGGCGAGGGCCTCCCAGGGGGACCCCCCCCCCCCCGCAAACTGCCCCCCCCCCCACCGAGGGGCGGGCACGCCGGCGTCTGTGCCTCTCCTTCCCTCGGAGGAGGAGGAGGCGGAGGCGGAGGCGGCGTAGGCGGCGGAGGCGGCGGAGGCGGAGGAGGCGGAGGAGGCGGAGGCGGAGGAGGAGGAGGAGGAGGAGGAGGAGGAGGAGGAGGAGGTGGAGGAGGAGGAGGAGGAGGAGGAGGAGGAGGAGGAGGAGCCTCGAGCACCCGCAGCCTCTCCAACATGCTGGCCTCGAGCGCCGAGGGCCGGGCGGGCTCGGGGCCGGGGCTGCCCGCCGGGGAGGCGGGGCCCGCCGGCGGGGCGGCGCCCCGCAGCCGGCCGCGCTCCTCCGCCACGGCGTCGCGGAAGAGGCGCGCCAGGGACTCGTCGGTGAGGCGCGGGGCCCAGGCGGGGGAGGCGGGCGCGTCCTCTCGGGGCCGCAGCGGGCGGCAGAAAGAGAGCTGCCTTGAGAAGGCGCTCCCTGGGAGCCCCCAGGGGAATCCCTGGGAGCCCTGCCCCGGGGTTCTGGCAGTAGCGATCCCAGTGGAACCAGATAGGGGCGGGGGCGCCCATCACCTCCCTCCTCTCTCTCTCTCTGTGTCCCTCTGTCTGTCTCCCTCCCTCCCTCCCTCCCTTTCTTTTTTTTGTTTCTCTCTCTCTCTCTTTCTCTCTCCCCCTCTGCTTTTTCGTTCGCCAGCGCCGGCGACAAACAGCACCGATCTGCTGCTTCTGATGCGCCCAAGCCACGAACTAACGAGACGATCAGCCGCAACAGCACGTGCCATACAGGGTGCTGCCACACTACTGAGGCTACGAGAAGCGTCGGCTGTCGTTCAGTTCAAGTCCAGCCAACACCAGCCAGCCTGGACAACCAGCCACAACGTCATGGCACGTCCATTAGCTTCAGAAGCGACCGAGAACCCACGCCAAGGACGATGGGCACCTGGTTAGCCCCGTGCCAGCCGTGCGACGCCGCTCAAGCCCTGCGTGCCGCCGTGAACGACACGCACACTGGCCACTAGGCACCCAACTCACCGACGACGTTTCCGAACGGTGTGATGACAAGGGTGACTAGGGACACCTGTCCGACTGCCCCCAGGCCGACCGCCCTCTGGCGAAGGATACGGTGGCAGCGGGACCGAGGGACACCAGCTCTGCAGCCCGCGTCGCTGAACAAGCGGCAAGCGACGACCCTATCCAAGACACTGACAAGGACGCTGGCCCAGCCGACAATCCAATCGAGGATCCTGACGACTGGGGAGGCTTCATGCAGACGCGTGAAACTCAAGGGTTACGCACATGCCGGAAGTGCATGAGACAAACACTATCGAACCGCCAGTGCCAAGACATCCTCGACCGCATTCAAGGCACGGCCGGAATGTGGTCACCGTGGGACAAGGAACAAGATGCTTTCCAAAGCTGGATGGATCAAATAATCGCGCGTTCGACGGGAAAAAATGCGGTAACCCCAGCTACGCCCGTGTCCTCAGAGCCACGCGCAACTAAGATGCGCCTCTCGAGTAGAGACGTCGAGGTGGAGCCTACGACATCTGTCACACGGCGTGGGAAAACAAACATGTGACCAGGGCCTTCAAGCGCAGGGCCTCTGGCAGACTATCGCACGCTGACCGCGGGGCGTACATCATCACCTACATCCGCCACTTCGACGGTGACGCGGCGGCGGCATCGCACCAACAAGTGCAACAGATGTAACAGACCCGACCACAGCAGCAACAGCAATGCAACCACACCTGGGTGAGTGGGTGAGGAACTCAGCAGCGGGGCATCCTCCGCCATCGCACGATGCACCATCACCGCCGCCGCCCCCACCAGGGACCCCATCGAATACCAGCATATCACCTCCACCACCAGCGGCGAAGGCGGCCGCTGCCATCCCGGCGCCCCGAACCCCACCAGGGGAGGCGTCGCGTCGCTGGACAACGACTCCTTCATGGAAGTAGTTACATCCGACGACGATCTCGACTGGCCAACGGGCACGGAGGGCCAGATCGACAGCGGCCACACGCCGCACGGCAACACCGAGACACGAAGCAACGCGTCAGCCGGCACGTGGCTCAGCCTGGCTCCGGCTACGCTCCTCGCGGCGGGCGAAGGGAGCGACCGAAACCGATGCGGGGAAGACCGCGCGCAACCGCGCGGCGACGTCGACCGCAACGGCCCAGGCTGGCGCCTCGGAACGGTGCTCGCCTACTTGACTACCTACCAAACCACCCCAACCCAACCCGAAGACCCGAATTTCGGGTTGGGGGGGGTAAGGGTTCCACACGTGTTTTTTCGATGTGTCCCGACCCCCCCCACTGGAAATCGAGGGTAAATCTGAGCCTTCGGGTTGGGTTGGGGTGGTTTGGTGGGTGGTGACTACTGCCGCGGCGGCGCTCGTGACTCCTGACCTCATCCTCGGAACCTTCACCAGAGCTACCGCTGTCAGGTCCTCCTCCGCGCTCCCCCCCCTCCTCCTCCTCCTCCTCCTCCTCCTCCTCCTCCTCCTCCTCCTCCTCCTCCTCCTCCCCCTCCCCCCCCCTCCCCCCTCCCCTCCTCCTCCCCTCCTCCTCCTCCTCCTCCCCCTCCTCCTCCTCCTCCTCCTCCTCCTCCTCCTCCTCCTCCTCCTCCTCCGCGCTCCCCCCCACCAAGCAGCACCGCGGCCTCGCGGTCTCGCTCGACCCGGGAGCCGCTGGGCACCCGGCCGGCGAGGGGGCGGAAGGCGGCAGTACGCTGCCCGCCTGCGTATCCGACGATCGACTTCGAATCGCAGCCAAGGGGCCCCCCAAGAGCCCCCCAAGAGGCCCCAGGGAGGCCCAATACGCCGCCAAGGGGCCCCAAGGCGCTCCCAGGGAGCCCCCAAGAAGCCCCCAAGACGGCCCCAAGAGGCCCCACATAGCGCTCCAGGGCCGGCGGAACGAGCGAAGCGATTCTAACAGCCAGCCCCAGGAGACCACCTCGAGTGCGCTTGCCGCGCGCGGATGGACAAGGCTGGCACCGTCAGCGACGTCGACAACATCTCCGGCCTGGCCAACCAAGCGGCGCACGCTTTTGCACGCGGAGTTCCGTGGCAGATGCCCGCCGCAGAACAAAACCTTTAGACCCAACTGGGCACGGCAAAACACCGCGAGACCCCGCGCTTCCAGGACGCCTGTGCCACCCCGCTCGCGCACGCTGCACATGGGGCGCCCGGTAGAGCCGCGGTCATTCTCGACAGGCTCTCGCGGCAACCCAGGGCCATCCAGAAAGGAACAGCTTCCCGCCAAGGATACCTAGGCTAGCGTGGCTCCAGCCATCCTGGCCTCTGGGAGCGCGTCAAGCGCACGTGGGCCGCGGCTAAAGCCCGTGCCAAGCGACGCCGACCACCTAGTCTGACGGAGTTCCCGCATGTCGCATGTCTGGGACTGCGACGAACTCCCGACCGACCAACAAGCCGACAACCTGATCGTCTCCACTGGGGCCCAGCTGAAGAGGCGCAGCCACTCCGACGAAACCAACCGCATCAACGTATGGAAGGCTCGAGTGCGAGCCAAAGGCGGAGGCAGGGCAAAAAGCCCGCGGGTCAACGCGGCTGACAATTCCAGCACTGTCTACCTACGCACCCCGCACAACGGTCCCCCGCACGCGCCACCAAACACAAACGGGAGCAAAGCAAGGCAAGACGGTTCTTCGTCGGACGACGTTAACGCCCCCGACGCGCAATCACACTTCAGCGAAGCGCCCGCTACAGCCCTGAGCGACTCCGTCGCAGACAGCGAAGTGATGCCGAAGACTCAGCTCCGATGCCAATCAACCAGAACGCCACCCTTGCCGGCACTGGGGCCATGCCCGCATATATACTCATGACAGACACGTGGGGGCCTGTCCTGGGCAGATAGCGAAACGCAAGGTCCCGCTCGGTCGAGGCCCCTCGACGTAGGAAGAATTCGTGAGACCGAGTGCCACCAGGAACTCCGTGCTCCGGCACCAGCCGAAACGTTTGTCCTGACCGACAAGGACTTGATCCACATTACTCGGCCCCCCTGGTGCCAGGGCTGGGGGCGCGGACGGGTGAAGCACTAGCGACGCCGCTTCGCCCAAGCCCTGGGGGCAATGCAACGCGCGCGGCAAATCCCGGAGCCCCCCCCCCCCTGCACATCCCAAACCCATGCCTTCGGAAAGACAAGCCGAGACAAAACCGAGCTCCGCGCCGTCCGCCGGCCTGACCTCCGCCATGCCCATGTGGATGTACGCCTGGGAAGCGCCAGCTTCACAGCAGCCTTGCCTCCTGGAGATCGCACCGGGCCCACTCAACCAGCTTCGGCGCGCTCCCACGCGCCCAAATAGGGGGTGCCGGCGCGGCCCTTGCGCCCCCGGTCGAGCACGCGCGCCGCTCCCGTGCCTCTCTGGCCGGGGCCGCGCTGGGCGCCCGCCCGGCGTCGCGCAGATCGGGCGACGCCTCCGCGACAGCCGCCGGCAGTGCACTCGCGCGGGGGCAGCCTCCCCTGGGCCCCTGGCGCGCGCGCCAGCGGGCATCTTCAGGGCGCCTCTGCCCCCCTTGACAAGCGGCGGCGCCAGCGCGTGCCTGCCAAGGGGCTCCAACGTCACTCGACGAGACCAGGAAATCTCGTCGAGTGACGAGACCCGTTTAGGGTTTAGGGTTTAGGGTTTAGGGTTTAGTCCTCCTTCCGACGAGACTGCCCTCTTCGACCAGTCGTCGTCTGGCCAGGAAATCGCCCCTGGCAGCGCGGTCGGATGGGCCGCGGGGCCCCCCCCCGTCGGGCGGCCAGCCCCCAGCCTCGCGAACGCCCGCTGCGTGCTCGCCGCCGGGCGACGCGCGCGGGGGGCGGCATCGGCGCGGCACCCGTGGCGGGCGACGCCCGATCGGACCTGGAGGCCGCCGCCGACGCCGCGGTGCGACGAGCCGCTGCAGGCCCGCTCGCACTGAGCGGACCCCGATGGCGCCCAAGCGAGACCTATCCATCAGTCAGCAGGCCCCTCGCTATCCACGTGCGCGCCGCTGGCGCCGACGTCCGAGCGCACGGGTTAGAGAACTAGAAACCTCTTCGACAGCGCGGCTTCCCGCCGCCGTTCGGCCCAAAAGAAGATCCTGGATCTCGCAGTGGGCTTTCTGCGCTCTCGTTGTTTCCAGGCGCGCTATCGGGCTGGGTGCCATCGCGCAAATGGCAGCTTTGCTCGGGGCGATAAGGCAAATGCGAAGAGACGCCAGTCTCGACGCCAAAGCTGCAGAGCTTCGAGACCACGCGCAATCCTTTAAGGAGGGGGCCCAGTGGGCAGCGCGCGGCAAGCCAGTGCCCAACTCGAGCGGGGCAGGCAAACGTGCAGCGCGATGTGCGACGACAAAGGGGGCACCTCCCTGCTATGCATCCACCCGCTAGCGGGGTCGTTCACGCATGCGCCCCGCGTGTCCCAGAGAAGGTCCTTCCCG